ATGGAGGGATCTCCGGTACGTTCAAAGGAGCCGCCTGCCTCAGTTCAAATTCAGGCATCCTCGTGAATTTTTTTTTTCTGATCGAAAAAACCGTACCCCCGCACTCTCAATATCCCGGGGATTCTGCACCAGTTGAAGTGTCACGGACTTGAAACAATAAAAAAAAAAAAAAAGGAAAAAGGTTCACAAAATGAAACGCATAAAGTCGAAATCAAGACTGGTTTATTGTTCTTTCTAATCCTCTATATATACAGTATGAGCTTGTTTACATCGGTGCGTTTGGTATTAACGCTAATACTATGCCGCTCCGTACCTTAACTCCCCCCCACCAGTTTACGGACACTTCCGTTCTCTTAGATTATTACGTTTCTTAATTATTTTTTGGTTTTCATATAATGTCAGAAAAATGTCACTTTTATGTTCATTATAATTATTCTTAGGGGACTAAATGTCCCAGAATAAAATTTACTTTTTTCTTCTAGTTATTATATAATGTGTAATTATTGCTGTATTATTCTATCGTTTGCTATATAATTTCTGTAGATAAATGTTTACCATACTGACCTAGGTATAATAGTACTGTTGTATTACAAATTATGTGAAATTAGTTTCAAGAATAATATCTAAAGAAAAATGAATAAACATACGTTTATCCCCCCCCCCCCTCGACACTAGGAGAATGTTATCGTGGATACTGTTGGAGAACTTAAAATTTATTTCATAAAATTGGAGTATATTACATGAAATAACAATAAATAGAGTCAGCCTACAAAAGAAAAAATGTAATAGTTACCAACACAAATTGATAGGTGGCAGGGCATTAGTTGTTACTTACTTGTACAAGCGAATCTGCGGGGGATGGGCTTTCGGGCTGAAACCACTCCTCCTCAAATGGTAAAATGTAACCATGTTACATGGAAAAAAATTGTCTCCTAAAGTATTATTGTTCGTGTAATTAAATTTAATAGGACTTCAAGAATCACTTAAACAACATTCCATGTAGGTAGTTAGTACCTTTCTTTTTTTTCCCCAAAGTAATTATCGTTATGTATATGAAAAAAAAAAGCTTTTGGGCTGAAGCTCCCAAAATTAAATCCTGGACCCGCTTGAGCTTACTTGTTAATACCTATCTGTCTTATCGCCCGGGTCTTGCTACTCTGATGAAATTTTTTTGAGCGACAGACAGGCAGTAATAATTTGAAGAATCCAAAGATGGCCGACTCCATCCGATATTTTAAGAGAAAAATATATATCGAAAAGTGAAAGGAGTAGTCCCTCTCTACTACAAATAGGATCAACCATTAAAATAAGTCTAGAGAATTAAACTATAAAACTAAATACAATATTTATGAAAGCCAGTAAAAAAAGTGGGGGGGATAAAATTAATGGTTAGCTTCAAAATTTACAACTTCAGTGACCTTGATATAGAAAGTCAACATCAAATTTCCTACATTCCTCCTCCTAACAACTCCTCTGACCTCACCAACCTACTTACATCATTTATCTCTGACATTAAATCTCTCATAAACCCACTTATCACCCTCCTTCAAGTGTTTTAACCAACCTTATCCCACCACCAAGAAATCAATCAAAATCACATCAACGAACTAACAGTGTTCCTACAGAACAAAAATATTGACTTAGAGCTAATTACTGAAACCCGACTATCATATTTACAGAAACGGCCAACACTCTAAGGTAAAATTCCTTATAAACAACCTAACAACATAAAAAATCTCCAGGATATTATATCTTAACTTCCCAGATCTTCAGACAACTTCCGAAACAAACAATTATATTTCATACATATATATACAATTGTATCCTCCGCACAACCCACTTTCCTCTAATGTGGAAACACTCCATGATTATCCTCTTCCCTAAACCAGGTAAACTTGTTAATAATACCTCATCCTACATACCAATAAGCTTGCTCCTGATCCTTTAAATCTTTGGAAAAATCCTTCTCAAGCAAATCCTATTCATAATAGAATCCCACAATATCCCTCCACACCAGTTTGGTTTCTGCTCACAACACTCCACAGTTCAGCAAGGCCTATGTGTTGTTCACCATATATCCTTTGCTCTTGAAAGTAAGCAATATAGCACTGGTGCCTTTCTGGATGTAGAACAAGCTTTCGACCGGGTGTGGCACAATGGCTTGCTTTCCAAGCACAAAACCCTCTTAACCCGATCCTTATACTTAGTCCTCAAATCCTACCAATCCAACCGTTCCTTACAAGTACCCTGTGGTCAGAATTTTCGAATTGTTACCCAGTTGAGGCCAGTGTCCCACAAGGCAGTGTCTTAGGTCCTATTTTATATATTCTCTTCACATCCATACGCATCCTAATACCTTCTTGACAACATTTGCAGATGATATCGCCATCCTGTCCTCACACAGATTCAGAAATAGCATCCCTCAATCTACAAAGATATCTGCCCCTGATAGAGCAGTGGTGCAACAATTGGCTCATCAAAGTTAATAAATAAAAGTGTAAACATGTAATCTTTACCCTTGCATGCAGATCTTGACCCCCAATCCTATTTAACTCTATTCCACTTCACATCTCTGACACTGTCCAGTATCTCTGCTTCCTTTTAGACAAAAGACTGACTTGGGACCCCACACACCAGACTTCAAAGACAAGAGCTTAACCGACGATTTGCCCAGTTATACAGATTACTATACAGAACATCTCATCTTTCAATCAAAAACAAACCATTAATCTACAAGACTGTACTGACACCTATCTGGATGTACGAACTTGAACTGTGGGAGACAGCTAAATTTTTAAATATCGAACACATTCAATCCTTACAGTCCAAAGCACTTCGAACAATAGTTAAAGCTCCATATTATTTCACAAACCAGATCCTACACCATGAGCTTAACCTCCCATATGTCCTTGACATCATTCCATCCCTATTTACAAAATTTCACCAGAATCTTATTCACCATCCCAATCCTCTAGCTCAATCCCTATCTAGCTCCAACCTTGATACCATATGCAATGAAAACTCAGGCCATTATTATAGATTTTAATTCACTGCTTAGATTCAACACCATTCTTCCTCCTTCATTAATTAATGATAATCATATCACCTTCAGCTCATCAGTAAAAATATTTGGGGGTTAACATTGATAACCTCCTCTCCTGGAAACGTTTTATTGTCTTGTGTTCTTAATGAATAAAAAAACATATGACTCAATACCAAAAAGATTGAATAGTAAATCGATATAACATCAATTTAGTATTACCCTTTAACAAAAGGTTAATAAACTACAGCCCATATCTCTCAAAGGTAAATAGCTTCACATAAGTTAATCCATTGTTTCCAGCAACATCTTCCACAACCCGTCCACAAGGTCCTTGTTTCCTCATTGATTTTCCCCCAATTTGACTACGGATGTGTGGTATGCAGTGAACTCTCGATTATACTTAAAGACAGACTGAAGCGAATCTTCAACTGCTTATTACTGAGATGGTCTCATATGTCCCACCTATATGGCCAGTTAAAAGTTGCTTTCCCCTCTTTCCGCTGTCAATGCTTTCTCAGATCTTATTTATAACAAACGATCAATTCCAAGTGCCCTTCCTATATCTACTGTTTCCTCAGTTCAAACCCTCAGCCCGCTCACAGAAAACAAGAACCCCTGTTTCTGACCTCTAAACCCCCTCTCACAGAACTAAAACCTATGAAATTCCTTTCATGCTCACTGCATTGCCTTCTGAAATTCCTTGCAATCCAATATCCACCATACTTCTTCTTTCTGACCATATTTCAAATCCAATAATATTTTAATATAAATCGCCCCCGAAAACAATGATGGCTCCTAACATCGATTTAATTCGAAAAGTTACAACTTGATATTCTGTTGCTCTTTCTCAAATCAGAAATTATTTTTATAAAAAGCGCCCTCGAAAACATAATAATGGTTCCTAATATCAATTAAGGGTCTTACATAAGCCCAATATGGACTCTATTATTCAATATAATCCTTATACTAATGATGGAGTAGTTGAAAAATAAAAAGCACTGAGAGGAATTTGGCTGAGTACTTTCTGTAATCAGATATAACATTGTGAGTACTTCCTGTACTTAACTAACTATAAACCTATGATAAACGTTGTGTGAGTACTCGCTGAGGACAGGCCGAGTACAGAAAGTACTGATTACTTTTTCCTAATAAAAGTACTCAAATCATGAAAGTAATCGGGTACTGCCCATCTCTAGATAGAACTACTATTCCAAAAATTCCATTTGTAAATGTAATGTTACGATTGCTGGACGTCTGTTTTGGGTGTTAGAAGGTATTGGAAAAGGAGGTATTTGAATGATGACAGGGAAGAAGTATGGTGGATATTGGATTCAATGAATCGCAGAAGGCAACTGAGCATCAAGTTTTGTAACTTTTCGGGTTTAATCGATTTATGACCCACTACTGTTTTGGGGAGGGGGCGCTTTTAATGCTCATCTCTAGTTCCTTTTATTTATGTTTTAACATTAAAAAAAAAAATGCTTTTTCTTTTCATTAAAACTATATTTATTTATTATTTCATTTTGAATTGTTTATATATCGTTAATGAAATTAGTATATATATATATATATATATATATATATATATATATATATATATATATATATATATATATATACTAATTTCTTTATTTAATATTTTTTGTTAATGTTTTTAGCCTGATATACCTTGCTGATAAGCTTCTTGTGCATAATTGTTATTCAAAGGAGACCTTGTCCCAGAATAAAGTTTATTTTCTGCCAATCAATCTATTTGCAAAAAGGGATATGAAATAATATCACATGACTAGAAAAGATAAATGCAATTTGTTTATAAGATCAATAAGGGCTTAAGGTAAACGTTTACCTTAACAGTATTTCAGGGAAGGACAATATTGTTAGTAAATAAACACAACTTAAAATATTTACAAAACATTTATAGAAACATTTTGTACAAAAATATAAAACGGTAATTCACAAAAAAAAAAAAACACTTTTAAATTTAACCTATTTTAACAATTTTCCCAGGGAATTTGTCAGCTATCAAGAGTTTATCTCGAATTCCCTTGATAGATTCTACAAATCCAAACCAATAAATCACCAGACCTGGGCCATACCTAAAACAAAAATAAATAAAAATACTATGCTTTCAATTCTATAACTATTGTATTCATATAATAGTATTTCAATTACAAACATTTAATAAGTATTAAAGCATGATAGATCAATACTAAACCTTATCTTAGCAATAGCAAATAGCACATTTTATTTAGATTGTAGACCTTATATTAAAAAATGACCAACCACTTGATTTAACTTCCAAAAGTCACTTGGTAAAAGTTTTTTTTTTCATTCTTTAGTCTATTAATACTTAATAATTCAGGTCATAAAATTATATACAGGTTAACAGACATAATCTTAACTAAGCAACCAACATGAAATTTCTTACAACACCCTATCCAGAGCTATGTCACAATTATAAAATAATCTCTTAATAATAAAAACTCAAAATTAAGACTAACAACATTTTTTTTTTCTTTAAGGAGTTAAATCAACTTTTGGTATGACCATATTATGTTAATCAATCTATACAGTTTTATTTCTAATTTTTACAACTGACAACAAACGAACTAATTATATTTGGGGGCTTTCAACCCATAAGTTTCATTTTTGGTCCCGTAGCCCGTGACCTATCAGTAGACACGACTGATTCAAGGCTATGAACAAATAGAGTAGCCGCCAAGATCATTCTATAATTACAACCCGAATTGATGCCTACATTAAGGCACTCGGTTAAGGATGCAAGGGTCATCCCAGACCCTGGAAACAAGGCCGAGGAGTCCGAAGTGTAGGCTTCCAAATTGAGTTGACTAACTAAGACTATGGAAAATCCTGCATATATCACGAGGAAGAAGGGTGAAACCAGTTAGGGGTCAATATATAACTAACCGTTATAATTGATCCCTAGGTTGAAATATAATAAATTTGAGAACTGTGCAGTGAAATAAACTCACTTTTATCGGCATACAAATTTTACAGAGATTTTAGAATTTTTTAACTTTCAACAACAATAATAGTTTTTAACAATAATACATCTGCATCATTTAACAATATGAATAATTTAAATATTTAGAAAAACATTGGTTTTGATTGATTTCCCAACAAAACCAAATATGAGGGCGGAAGCTCTACCTCTTGGTGAATTCCAGCCACCTTTGTCAACTGTGAACTTGACTCCAGGAACATCAATTATGGCAAAGGGAGCAAAGCCCAAAATTGGACCAGAAGGAGGGAAGAAACTAGAGAAGATAGGGAAAACTATCTCTTTTGGTGGAATCATGCCACTGGCCCCACTGGAAGACCAACTCCCTACTCCCTATAGTGTACGAAGTTTTGGGCAATGGGCACTGGAGGAGAATGGAGGTGGGGAAAATCCTTAAGACTCAGTGAAAGCTGGGCCTGAGGGTGGAAATCTGCCACGGTCTCAATCCAGGAGTCCGCCCGACATGTCAACCTAAATCCAATCTCCAAATGAGAATGCAACAAGTAAATCTACACCACTGCATTGCGGTATGTGGAGTACTTCTGCAATACATTGAAGGTGTGGATATTGGTATTATTCTAATTCAAGAACCTCACTTAATTAATAACAGGATCATGATATTGGGAATCTCAGGCTATGGAATTATTTCTGTTGCCACCAATCCCAGGGCTTGTTTCTTAATAAAAAATCACAAAAATTACTGCATTTTTGGTAACTTTGTTCTAGAGATTTGGCAACAGCCAGATACACTTCACCAGGAGACAAGAGGACACTAAGCATAATGGCGAGTTACCTGCCCTATGAGTCTGAAGATCCTGCTCAAGACTTGGACCATATTATAAAATCCACTGAAGGAAGGACCCTGATGGGATTAGATGCCAATTCCCACAACATCTTATAGGGCAGCAGTCCTGAGAGGTGTGATTTTACTGGATTACATTATTAATAATGATTTAGATATACTCAATAGGGGAAAAAAACCTACCTTCTGTAATAAATTAAGATCAGAGGTCATAGATATAACACTGGCCTCTAGCCAGGTAACGTCAAGAGTGGTAAAGTGGCATGTATCACCAGATGAAGAAATAAACTTAGACCATTGATATATCAGATTTGATTTGTCTGATAACACTATTACTTCTGAGGAGTACAGAAATCCAAATTCTATGGACTGGAATGCGTATGTCTCATACTTAGAAGAAGCATGCAAATGTTGTCCCAAAGTTACAAATAATATTTGACAGCTAGAATGCCTCAATTCATCTTTAACAGATGCTATGAAGAAATCTTATTGGAGGAGCAATGAAATTCAAATTAGAGTATCCAACAGAAAGATAGGCAAAGGACACTTACAAGAAGGTTGTTCAATGCTGTCAAAGGATCTGGCAATTGGGATGTTTGAAGGACCATCCTTACAGAATATCACAAATCTATGAGGACAGCTAAAAGACGGTCTTGAAGGAACTTTTGCCAAGAAATAAACAATATTCCTATGATATGCAGGATAAAGAAAATAGTTTCTAAACAGAAAGATCAAGGAACAGAGGGCACACTCAGAGTCAACAGTAAATACATCACCAATGAGAATGTATTAGCACACTTTGCTAGTTGTAACACAATGGGGAAGGCTTGCATTGATACAACACTCCTTAGCTATACAGCTAATAGAGAAGTGTGGACTAAAGCTAGAAATATTGTTGCAATAAATAGACTTGAATGAACACTAAACTTTTGGGATTTTCCCGAACCTTTCGTACAAAGTCCTACCTGTAATTAAACCCTACTCACTGGAGTTATTTAGGAGAAGTTTAGAACTTGCTTTATATCCCTAATAGGTGGAGAGAGCCAAGAATTTGTCACCTATCTAAGCCTGGGAAAGGGACTTATGTTAATCCCAAATCATACTGACGTATATGTCTGACTTCCTTCCGGTTAAAAGTACTGGAAAAGATTATGGATAAACACATTAGGGACTAAACGTTAGTAGAAAGACTGCTACTCAATTTGACTATCGAGCCAGCAAATTTTGTGAGACAGCATTGCATTATTTGGTCTCTAGAATCGAGCAGTTATTTTTTTTTAAGTTTATAGCAGACAAAGATTATGCGGGCATCTTTGTCGAACTTTAATGTTCCTTTGATCGTACTTCCTATGACACAATGGCTAGAGCCTTGGATAGGAGAGGGGTTGACTTCTTGGCTTTGGAATGGATTAATTTGGTTCTGAGGGGGAGAGTCTTTAAATCTGAGTTGGGACAAACTGTGCAGAGCGTTAAGCCTGTTGGAGATTGTCCACAGGGAGACGAGTTGTCTCCACTTTTATGGAGTTTGGTCGTTGACTCCCTGATTGCTAAACTGAACGAGGAAGGGTTTTATTGTCAGGGATACGCTGACAATATCGCCGTTTTGATAAGAGATACATTTCCGGACACAATATTTGGACTACTCGTAAACAAAATGAAACTTCGAAAAGAATGGTGGCAGTATAATGGGATTGGCATAAAGCTGCAGAAGATAAATCTTTGTATCTTCACTAACAAAAGTAATGTCAATATTAGACCACTTTCATTAAATGGGTCACCATTAAATATCTGTAGTGAAGTAAAACATCTTAAAATTACAGTAGATAGTAAGTTGAATTGGCTTAGTCATATTGAAAACATTAGTAGTAATGCTCTATGCTGTTTAGGGGCGTGTAAAAGAGTCGATGGCGAATCTTGGGGATTGAAACTCAACATGGCTTTATGCCTACATATGAATGAATGAAAAGTAATTCTATTCTGGGACTGAAGCGCCCTTAGAATAATAGAAGAGTTAAAAAATATGTACATCAGTCTGGCATTTAGATATAATACAGATATATACAAAAACAACTAAGAAAAACAAAAATATTTACAAAAAAATAACAATAATAATAAAATAATAAAAGGCTTAGCAAACCCGAAGGTTCGATGCCGACACCACCAATCGCTTATTGCACACCTCCCTCCACCGTTCGCCGTCCAAACCCAGTCCCTTCAGATCGGCTTTTATGCAATCTTCCCACCTTCGCTTCGGTCTACCTTCGGACGTTTACCAATCGGTACAGCAAATATTAACCTTTTAGAAATTCTCTTGTTACTAAGCCCAACAATTTTACAAGCCCATCTGATTCGCCGAGATTGAAATTAACTTAATTATATTATCCGGAAACAGTTCACGCAATTCGGCTTTGTGTAACCGTCTGAACTCTCCGGCTAACTCATCCTTCTTTGGTCCGAACATTCTACGCAATACTTTATTTTCAAAAACCTTAAGACGCTACTCAACCCTTAATGTAAGCGGCCAAGTTTCGCATCCATAAAAAATTGTAGGCAAGATTGCGCGAACTAAGTAGTTTTGTCACAGAAAAATAACAAGCATTTCCCGACTTCAGTCTAACCTTAATCTCTTCATCAATTTCGTTTTTTCTAGTTACGTGGAACCTAGATACCTAAATTTATCTACCTATTCAAACATATTACCATCTCTATCGATATCACCAGTAGTATCGCCATTTTTGCAGCCAACCATATATTTTGTTTTATCCGCGTTTATTTCGAACCCTAGTTCTTCACCGACGAAGGCAGTGGATCAGCTGATGCGAAAGGTCGTGTTTCTACATGGTTTCTCAGAATTTGCTTATTTTCCAGTGAAATCTTAGAGATTATTCATTCAAAACAGGTCAAGAGTACATAACAACAATTGATATTTATTGTTTGTTGTTATAAGTTATAGGGGTTTTCCCCCTTTTATTTCTTTTATGCGATATCACCATCAGGCCATGTCTAATAGAGCGTCTATCAAGAGAATTCGGCCGTTAGGCTCAACACCTTGTTCTTCGCCAGTCAAACAAAAGCCTCGCCAATGTCGTCAAACACCTGCAGTAACGCCTATTAGCTCCAGAGAAAATGAAACCCAGCCAGGAACATCATCAAAACAAACCATTGAAGAACTTCAGCATAAACCAGGTACATCTTCACAAGAGATAACCGAACAATCTCCAATTTTCACCCCTAACCCCTATCAGGTGCTTCAGAATGATAAAGAAGTGATG